GAATTTTCAGTGATTTTTAAGATATAATTTTGATGTAGATAACTCAATCAATTTCATAATAAAAATGTCGCTTGCATGTTTCTGCTATTCTTCATTTAATATGCTGCTGTGCATCTGAGTGAATTCGTATTAACAGCAATGGTTCTATTTTTCTAATTTTTCGAGTGTTGTTGATTATTCCATTTCACTGAAGGATAGAAAGTCTTGTAAAAAAGGTATTTCCTCTAATAGTAGACATGGTTACAATTTTACATAGCTTAAAGAACTTACCATACTTAAACCTTCCCTGAGTTATTCACTGGATGTAATCTCATTTATACAGAGATAAAAGCATTTATTCAAGCATTCATTTAATTTATAATAAGTCTATTTAAAATAATAAAAACCAATTAATTAATTGCTTTGGTAATTAATAATAATTATTTTAAATATTAAACAACTTTTTATTTAGAATTTATTAAATCATCTGTATCATTAATATTAATTATTTAAAATAAGACAAAAACTATTAATTATGTATTTAATCATTAATATGTAAAAACAAATCAATAAAATGTTCCGACCTTTATTATAAATAATCGGTAATCTCACAGTAAAATCTTCAGATTTTTCATTTTTTATTAATTGTATCTTATATTCAAAATCTAATTAAAGACCCCATCAATATTTCATCAACTTCTTTTTATACATAATTACTATAAATCAAATTTACTATTAATTGATTTCTGAATTAGATTATAATAGTTATTCTATTTCAAATTATTACCATGAATTATTTGTTTTGATCCTCTTAATTAGTTGAATTTTTTTGTTTATTATTCTATCATTGATTAAGTATGTAGGATCTAACTCTGAATATAGCCATTAAATTCAACAGTTTCATCATCGCTTTTATAACTATTAGAGTTAAGAGCAGTCATTATTAATCAATGGTTGCAGATGATTCATGACTAATATTGATATTTGAAAGAGTGTCATTTCATTTAAGTTCTTTTTGATACTTAGTTATTCCAAGATCTAAGACTCCAAAGGAATCATTGAATTTGCTATTTTTACTTGATTTTAATTCATTCTAATGCTAATAACTTATAAAAAAGTGTATAACTTTAACATCTCCACAAATTGTAATTCCTATACAAATACAGAAAAATAGCATGGTTGAATTATCAATTAAAACAATTTAAGTGATTTCATCTAAGAATACTTGAATTAAGTATTCTGGTAGATTTGGACCCTTATCTGTCATTGATTCTAAATACTATTATCATAACTGTTTAAAACTTTCATCTGGTAAAGATATTATAAACTTCGTTATTGGTGTAATAACATACGTTATCTAGATAAATTCACTCTAACAACTCATTTGACAATACTTTTCTTATGGATTCTTTCCATCTAATCCCAATATTTTAACAAATTCTTCTAATGCTCTAAATTCTCGCTCACTTACTAATTTCACACTCTAATTATCTCCTCTCTAAAGTCGATCTTTATTTTACAACTATCAAACAATTAATTTTGTAAAAGAATGAATTTTACAAATTATTTTTTTATTAATTTAATATCTATATGGGAGATCCCAATCAAAGGCTTAAAAATTATAATCCTAAAGAAGAGCCAATAAACCATAATCACCATAACATTAAACCCCAATATAGCATTACCAATTCCTTTTTAGAGAACCAATAAATAGATATCTATGAATGCTTAATTTGATTATAAAATACTCCTCTCTGAAAAAATTTATGGATTACTTACAATATTTTAAACCTCATATTAGAAATCTTAAAAAAGCTGAAAAATTATATAATGATGTTACACAATATTCATTATAATGAGCTAAATTTAAAGAATAAGATAAGAAATTTAGGACTATTGTTCTGATATTATTCTTTAATTTATATCACATTTCTAAATTTAAGAAATATTTAGTTAGGAAGGAAAAAATTTTGAATCACTATAAAAATTTGTTTGAATTACCTCCTAAAAATGATGCCTTAACTTAGGTCTGAGTATTTCCAAACCAGATTTCAAAAATTAAGACCATAAAATGATAATAAAAAAGTTGATCTTGCATTCTTAACTTATATTTATTTAATTTTTGGTAAAATAAATCCCCAATATTTGTAAGAATATTTGTAAGAGTATCAGTATATTATCATCTATAATATTTATATAGTGATTGCTTATCCTATTTAACAGATTCTGATTAATTTATAAAAGATTCTGCAAAACCAAAATAATTAAACAATCTGAAACAAGTTAAATTTAAATTAGAAAGTAACATCAAAATCATTACTAAATAATAAAAATAATAATAACACCAATTATTCTACTAATAATAGCTTCACAATTCCGAAACTCCTTCTTAATAAATTGAAGATATGGTAAAATAATTTAGCATTCTTAAATAATAAAATTAAATATATCTAACCCTATAATTTATACTTCATAAAATCCAGCACAAGTATCAAGTTTCGTAACTATTATTACAATTGTATTCCATTTAACTTTGTAAAATTTACTAAAATAAAACTCATTTTTTGTTAAGTTTAACCAAAAATTATACAGAAAGTCTTATTCAAATTCAATAATGATTAAGATTGTACATTCTTCTAGTCCCATCAAACTATAGGAAAGCATTTCTGGGGAATCATTAAGTTCTAAAACTTAATCTAATCCAAAACTATCAGAGATTTGAGTTTTTATCAAACTTTCAAGTTAAGTAGGCCAAAGTGATATCAGCACGTAATATAAGAAAACTTTTTCTCAAAATAGTTATAGATTTATTCTATGTATGAAATTTTTGATTTCGTTATAATAATGTATTTTTTGCTACTATGTCCTTTGAGGATTAGTTTAACTTGATTTATTTTCCCTCAATATAAGCAAGTCTTAATTAATTGATATGATAATTTACAGATTCTCAGTTTGTAATATTTTTTCCTAATTTTTGATCTAATTATTTGCAGGATAGAAAAACTTATTTAATATCATTATAAGATTAAAATTCAATCCTTATCCGAATGAATTTGATCTAATAAATTTAGTCTTACATGATTTAACCACCAAAATGTATAATCAATAACCCTTCAAAAAAATTTAGGAAATGATATATTAATTCAAAGTAGAATGAATTACTAGTATAAATTCTAATTTACTCGTTTATATCAAAATTAAGATGATTTCTTACTTATCTAACCAATAATATTACTCAGTAATATCCAAATGTAATTTACTTACCAAGGATTATAATAAGAAAAACATTTTATGCTAAATCCAAATTAAATAAAGGGATAATTCATTAAAGACATTCAATTTAAGAAGTTGTGTTTCAAATTACAATTTTTAATTTAATAATTTCCCTAATGCCCTAATGATATTTTAAGAATATGTTTTAATCAAACAATTAAATTCGATTATTTCATATTTTTGAAAAAAGTATTTTAAAAATAAAATGAATCTAAGTTTCTGTTTTCACTTCCACATACACGAAAAATTCATTTTTTATAAATTAAAGATATGGTTGAGAAACTAATTTTAAACCCAAAAACATAGTTTGGAAAACTAAAAAAGTTATGAAAATTTTCAAGAAAGAATTAGAATTTTTTTTTTTCTTAAATAATAAAAGTATTGCAAATTTTTTATAAAATCTTGTATATGCTTCTAATAAAATGCATTCTTAAGCTCTAAAGAATTCTTCATTCAAAGAAGAATAAAGTGATGAGAATTATTAAATTTCAATTAATATTATTTCATACATTTTTGTAATCAATAAAACAAAATTAAATATGAAATATAAAACCTTAAATGAAGACAATCTATAAAAATTATAAATTTATTATTGATTTAAAAGTTCTTTTACTTTTATAAAAATCCCAATAAGTTTAAAAAACGTCCAAAAAATTTTTTGTTTTGGATTTAGAATTTTAAGATCAAGTTTTATTACTATATTGTAACCAGAGAACTTCTAAATCAAAGATGAAAAAGGAATATTTTAAAAAAAGTTTAAGTTATTTTCTTCTAACAGAAATAAATATTTGAATTAAAATGGACTTAATATGAATAAAGTTTTTATTTTGAGGAAGACCAAAAATTTCATCTTAATAAATTTTTGAAAATAGTAAATTGAAATTAAAAAATTTATAATGATATATGTTCTATTTAGCAATAATTTTAAATATCTTACCGCATCAAAAATTAATTCAATTTATTATGAAGAATAAAATATATCATTTGCTCTCAATTAAGAAAAAAAACTTATCTAATTCCAAAAGGTTTTTAAATTCTTTGTGCATAGTGAAATAGAAGCAATTAAATCTAACTAAATCAGTATTCAATTAAAAAAAATAATATTTTAAACTATACAAACATATTTTATCGTGTGTTTTTATAATTTAAGTATTTTTCTTAATTCATTATCAA